AGCATGGGGCATAAGGCCGTTGAAGGCTTGAGGAGTCACCTTCGGGGGGTATATCTTGCTCACGATAAGACCCTTTCTCTGAGAACTCCCCTCAATAGCCATGTTTGTACAATATGGACAGCTGGTCAACTGTTGTCTGCTCAGGGAGACGCCTCTCCTCCCTGAACCTCCCCAGCTCTCTCTCCCTGCAGCACAAAATCGGGCACCGAACCACGCCCTAGTCTGGGTTCTGCCATTGTGTGGTGATCTCATCTGTCCACGGAGGGCGAGCACCATCGGGGAGCACGTCTGCGTGGTCAGGAGACTCTGGCGCTTAGTAAACGCCCATTACCTCATGGGAAGGCACTTGCCCAAGGGGCTGGATGACAAGGCCGCTGCTCGTGGACCCTCCTGAGAGTGGGGTCAGGGAGGTCCCTTCCGGGGAATTTCCCCGAATCTAAAAAACCTATCAGCCCCTCACTAGAACCAGCGGAAACCTTGGCCTTGGCCTCAACCTCTGCCCTCACCTTCTTACTGTGAATAATAAAAGTAACGGCCGCCTTCACGAATCGAGTGCTCGTCAAGCGCTAGGCGTCACTCTGTTCATTTGGCTGCATCTTCGCAGCAACGCTGCGGAGTAGGGATCGTTCCCATTTTACGGATGTGACGGGAGTCAAGGTTCAGAAAAGGTCCAGAACCTGGCCAAGGTCACACAGCTTGTGAGCAGCGGAGCCAGATACAAAGGTAGGTCCTTCAACTCCAAAGCCCACTGTCCTCACCACCGGCCAGCTGCCCGTCCCGCCCGGCGGCCACTTTCCCCGGACACAGCCTCCAGCTGTCCTCCGTCTGCTGCGACTGCTTCCGTGCCCTCCAGGCTCCCACACCGCATTTTAACGCTCGCCTCCTTTCTTCCTCGTAAATCGACCTCCTTCTCCTGAAATAACCAGCCGCCACCAGGTGTCCCTCCTCGCCTGCGAGTGACACCACTTGGCTCGAGCTGCGAGTTGGAGCCGATGCCCGCGGCCTGGAAACTCGTCCCGGCTTGAATCGGTCGCACGAATTCACGTTCCTGAGCTGAGGATGCCGAGGGGAGAAGGGCGCACAAAGCGCACAATGCGAGGAGGCGACAGAGAGTCGAAGGGAGTCCCAGGCTCAAGTCGATCCGGGAAAGGTTCCTTCGCGACGTCTACGAGCGACGTGGAGAAAACCTGGCTTTCTGCCATCTGTACCGAATGAAGGTTAAAAACGGACCCCGGACTGCATCTCGAAGGCTACTGAACGTCTTTTCCGTTAGAACATGTCTCTTCCGGATTTAAGACGCGGTTTTAGGAGCTGCACCCCACCGAGTGGTGGCCGAGGCTCTGCTCGCGTCAACGCCTCATTCTGCTCCTCGGGTGAATTCGTCCTCTGCCTCACTTCATGGTCTGTGACTGTCATGGGTTTCAGTTGATTGTCGAATATTTTGGTGTTGACAGATTCTACTTTTTTATCTTGAGAAATAGAATTGTTTCTAAGTCACGTACAGCCGTTATTTCTAAGAGGAGGGATATCTGGCCATTCCTAGGCGCTATCCACTCCAGGGATGTCAATATTCCCTCAATGGATCTGCAACTGTCTTCAGATGGAATATTCAAGACAGGAGGCGCCCATTCAACATGAAGACCAGGTGGGGTCTGACTCAGCTGGCAGAGGCGGGTGATTCTAATGTGCAGCTGGGCTGCTGGCTTAGGCAGGGCCCTGGGCAGTGCGACTTTTCTCGAAAGAAAAAATAAAGCTCTGACTTGGAATCATTTGTGTCTTGAGATCAAGATCCAAGACTGAACGTTTTCAGCATTTGTGAAAAGACAAACTGCTGGACGGTCCACCAGCTTGGCCGGGCTGCGTGTCTCACATCCCCAGAAGTCCACCAGGTCATGGATCACAGAGTTTCTGATGCAAGAATAGTTCTCTGCTCTCCAGAAGGTTCTCCCAGGGCAGGAAGTGGAACAGACCCTTGTCTGGCTTCTCCTCAGTTTCCTGACCCTTCGGGGCGCTGGGTTCTCACACACATCTTCTGCCCTTCATCGAAGCTGGGCATTTCCTCAAACTGGAGCCTCAGCTCAGCCCCGCACAGCTGAGAGGATCCAGACATGGAGGAGAGGAGAGATGGGTGCGGGACGGAGGGGGCGGAGATGAAAAGTAAGGTGGCTGAGGGCGAGAGTGGAGTGTCTTCCGAGGACATTTACGGGTCCTTTGGTAAGAGACTGTTAGTGGTTCCTGAAGGTTAAATACAATCCCCACAACTGGCCAGAGCTCCCCCTCCTTAACACGCAATCATCGGTGATACAAACAGCAGAGGCGGAGGGATTTTCGACCGACTTCTCTGCTGTCAGCAGTGGGAACGCCCCCCCATGTGAGAGGGGGAGATCCTGGACGTCAGGGGGGCTAAGGAACATCACGGAGAGGGCGAGGCTCCCCCGTTACTCATAACCGGACCAGACGGCAAGCCCGAGCCTCCTCCAAAGCCATTCTCCGCGCAGCCCCCCAACAAACTGAGCGTCAGGCTCATTGCAGCAGCTTTGCGGAGCAGCGCGTCCCCCAGTCCCCCCCTGCCTGCGACCTCAGCCGCTCAGAGAGCAGGGGCTAGGACACCGGATGTTTTTAAGCCTCCCAGGTAATGCTTCGATGGGCCCACTGGGGAGCTGCTGTCTCCCGCTGGTGGTGACAGGTCACTGCTGCTTCTTACACGTCTTACCTGCAGTTTGGGGATGGGATCACGTCTCAGTCTTCTCTCTAGTCCTCTGTGTTGTCCGCACAGAGCAGCTGTACCGTCCACACTGCTGGGCACAGCATGGATGCCCAGTGCTCACTTCTTACGTGGAATTACGTTTGCTCTGAATGGCTTCGTCATCACTTTTTTAAAACTCCTTTTCCTCTTCATGAAAAGTAGAATTATGTTTCACTCATGTATGTTTTCCCTATAAAAAATTTAATGAGATGCTTTCATCTTTATTTACGAGAATAAGCAGACATGGGGATTCCAAAATGAATATTTTCATGTTTCTTCTTTTCTTACCAAAAAAAAAAAAAAGATACTTCCTGACTCTGTGGAAAGATAACTCACAGCCCTGACGCTCTTTCTGTTTTATAGCTGCTTTTGGGCAACTCGTTCAGGGAAGATAGATGAGCAGTCTTTTCTGGGGATCTATTTCTTTTGCTCATCCTCTACTGAATTTAAATGGAGTCATTCTTTTAAGCTAGAATAAAATTATTTTTTACACCCTGACTCAGAGAGATATTGTTTCTGTTAAAGTTATCTTTCTAAGCAATAAAAAATGGGTTATGACACAATCGTTTTGTGTACTATTTTCCCTGATACCTCGGTGAGTCCAAATGACAAGCACACCAGAATGCTTCCCTTTTCCCACAGGCTGTAGATTGAAAACAAAAAACAAAAAGACTATATGCAGCCAGCCAATATTTTAAAATGGGTCAATGAGAGCTGTTATCCGCAAACCCACATCTCGGGAGCCGTGCTGGACGGCGTCCTCCGGGCTGTGTGGCAGGGGCTCCACCGATGTCACACGGGCACAGCAGGACAGTGCAGATCCAGAAGGGTGGACCCAAAAGATGAATGAAATGATTTCGCAGACACTATATTGTAAAAACCATACACTTCTTGGAATAAAAATCATTTATTGTTGAGCATGAAATACATCCTCTGTGCAAGTAGAAAGATTTTTTTGAAGCATAACAAGAGCAAACAGATTCTAGGAAAGAAATTTTTTTAAAAGGGTTGTTGCATCAGCTTCTCTGTGGTTTCTGAAATGATGTCACAACAAATCCTGATCATTATTTTGCCATGCTCCATCAATAATGTCAATAAGAACTTCCCAGTAAACACAAAGTTCAGATTTTTAAAGTATTCTGCATGTTATCTATCAATTTCAAGAAAATGAGTATGCAGCATACATGTTTTTGAGTGCAAAAATGGGTAAACAAAATGTCCTGTGTCTATTTCATGAACTGTTTAGTGTTAGGTGAGTTTGTGTGTATGTGTGTCATTGTAGGGTAAACCCCAGATGACAAAATCATACTACGTTCTTCAATAGACTTGCACGACACAGTTTATATTAAAGATTTTCTACGACTCATCCTCTCTTGGGGCTCATTTACATCACGCCATACCTTACATCATCATAAACTGGGCTAAAACAAGGCAGGTTCCGAATATCCCAAATGTACAGTCCGCCACGGTAGTTCAGCAAAAGCCACAAAGTGATCGATTTCTTGCAAATTGATCCACGGGGTTCCGGAAGATTTTTGTGTGTGAGAAGCGAAGCCAACGACACCCCTGACTGTACAGAAGGACCCCCCTCTCCCCCCGCCCCGACTTCACTGTGAGCATCTCTGGAGCAGGGCAGTTTGCAGAAAGAGCTCGCTCAGCATTGCTCCAATGAACTGGGTTCTCTCGTGACTCCTCCTCACCCCGTACACATGGCCGCTACCACCAATGACCAGGAGGTAACCGGCTCTGAAGCCCACGTGTCCCCTGTCCTGGGAAAAAGAGTCCAGATTTAGTCACCTGAGCAAAATCTTTTATTGAAAAGACGATCTATCATCTGGTTCCCCCAAATGCAAATACTGTCACTCGGTGGATTCCTTAGGCCTTTGAGGGGAGTTTCTAAAGGTGTAGGAGGTGCCACAAACCTCGCTGGCACAGCGACCTGCCTCTGGTGACAAGGGATCTTTTGTAAGAGAAGTTGTGTGTTTGTAAGGAACCAAGTTCTCTTGCTCACCGTTGGTTCTCCTCCATGGCAGCCACCCGTCACCCCATGAAAGCTGAAGGACCCCACCATACAATGAGCCCCTTTCGGCCACGGTCCCGGCACCCCGGGCCTTGGAGTTGCTTCCGTCCCCAGAGCAGAGCTGGCCCCAGGGTGAGGTTCTACCCAGACAGTCAGTCGCTGCCGTAATGCTGGGGCTCGGGCCCCAGCCCTGCGCACACCCAGGGGCTCACGGTCGCTCTCGGAAGGTCGTCTGTCTAGTTCCGTTTGGCGTCCAGTTGGCCGAGTCGCTTGACGATCATGCTGTTGATTTTCTTAAGGTCGTCGATGTCCTTTCCCTCAGCTGTCAGTCTTCTTGACACGTCGTCCATCTTGTTCCCAGTCTGAACTTCAAAACGGAAAACAGACCGCGTCACACGGGTTCCCAGCGTGTTCCGTGGGACTCTGGGCAGGCGCCCTGCTCCAACAGCCCACGCGGCCCAGAGCCCCGGGAGGGAGGCTGCCGAGGGCTGAGGTCACCACCAAGAGAATTATCTTTGCAGCCTCTTGGTGCCGGTCAGCCTGTACGACTGTTGGCAGCTCCGCACATTTTGGCTGAGAAAGACATCGCTAGGAGCAAGCAAAAAAAAAAAGAAAGAAAGAAAGAAAGAAAAGAAAAACCCTGCCAGCGTGTCTGAGTAACAAAAAAAAAAAAGAAAGAAAGAAAGAAAAGAAAAGCCCTGCCAGCGTGTCTGAGTAACCCAGAGACGTCACTGTCATGCTGGCTCATGCTGATGAGCCAACAGTGATGTTGGGGGCTCCAGCCTATATGGCACAGCTCCGCTGGCTCTGAATTACCAGCCCATACTGTATGTGTGTTAATTCTCCTCAGACCACCCTGACAGCAGACAGACAAATTCTGCAAAATAAGCAGATCCCTGCCGTAGAGTAACTGGGGGAATGGAGCACTCTGAGGTCTGCTTATCTGAGTTAAATTTTCCAAGAAATTAAACGTAGAATCAGGACTTAGTATGTGGACTTCTAATCATTTCCATTTCAGGCAAGTTTTTTCCAAGGTATGTTTCAGAAATGAACGATATTAGTAACACGCCATTGGGCTTAGCCAATAAACTAACGCGGGGAGGCAAATTCGATGACAGAGCGTCACCTTCCGAACTGGGAACAGATTGCTGCCCAGAAGCTGCCTCTCCGCCACATCGGAAACATGACGTTGAATGAATTATGATCCAAGACACGAAGGAAGGGTTTCAACTGAGCTCTGCCGCATCGCACGGCAGAGACGCCACCTGCTTCTGGAAAGCGTGAAGCTGAAGCAAATCCAAAGCACGTGACGCTTTTCCCCTCTTGGGAGCTGCCTGCATTAATAAGACACAGAGGAAAACAGCAGCCATGTTGGCCTCGGTCCGTTCCACAGTACACGGGCTCCAAGTTAAATGCCAAAAGAAAGGGTCCCGTATGCAAACAAGTTCGAGAAGATTGACATGCTGACCCACCTCTTGCAAATTCACAGGAGGAAACAGCCTGAGCATTATCGAACCCAGCAATTCCCAAATGAATTTCAGCACTAGAACCTTTTCTCCCTTAAGGCAACATTTAATAGCATCCCATGAACCACGTGTCCCTGGAATACACGGCTTGGCCACTTGACGCTGCCACCAGGCCACACAGGCATCCATAGCAATGTATGCTTGCTGTCCGTTATTCCTCTTTAGGACAGAGACTGTGACAAAAACAAGCCCCAATGGTTTAATAAGAATGTACTCAATATAAAATAGTCTTGTTTTCCTTGAGTAAAAATGCCAGTTATAAAGAAGACAGGTTCTTACAGTGAAAGCCAAAGGTCTTCCTTGTTAAAGACGGGCTTGGATCAAGTTCATTTACAGATGATGCCTGTGCCAACTCCCGCCTTAGAAGGGGGCAAGGTTCACCTGAAGGCCGCAGGAAGCCTTTATTATTACTACCACGCAGGCGGTGGAGAATGTCTGGAGCCAGACAGGCCCGGGGTTGAATGCCAGCTCTACCTCTGACTAGCTGGGTAAACCTGGAGAGATGAACTGTCTGGGCCATAGTCCTTTATCAGTAAAACCGAAATATCAGACACTACCTTGAGGGGTAGGATAAGGATTTAAGATCATAAATTCATGTGTCTGCCACAGAGTAATTGTTTAATAGAAAGACCCCTCTTTCTTATTCAGGTTTTGTTTCTGGCTTCTGAATATGACTTTATCCTCAATAGAAAACACTAGAAGCAAATATAAAATAAGCCCTTTTCCTACAGGAGGAGGAGAATAACAATACTGAAATGCGTGGTCCTTGACGTCAGGCAGGCGTGTCTTCAGGCCCTGGTTTGGCTCTTACCAGCTGCGTGGCCTTGGGCGTGTTAGCTAACCCGTCTAAGCCTCAGATTCAGCAGCGGTAAAAACAGAATAACAACGGATCCCGTGCTACAGAGTTCTTGCGAAGCTGTGAGCAAATAGACATCGAGTGCCTAGCGCAGTGCCTGGGACACAGTGAACACCCAACGTACGGCATCTTTTCACGACCATTGCCGTTCGCCTTACTGCCCATCACCCCACCGGAGGAAGCAGCTCCGCTGGGCTGCTCCCACGCAGGAGGCGCACCTAAGGTTCCTGACGGTTTAGTCATTACCCCACGCGGCAGGATGATATTTGGAGCCTCAGTTTATGTTGGTATAACATTTCAGAAAAGTAACCCATGTGAAGGAGTCGGTCACTGAATGTTATAGACCCGAATTAACGAGGAAATCTATGCATCAGATGAAGAAAACCTAGAATTAGCTAGAATAAGCTGCCTACCACTTGACAGTCAGGGACCCCATGTGAGAAATTCGAGTGTTGTAGAAATATTTAACGTACGTGTTTCTGAATTTGTGGCTCTGTGGGCTTATGCGGTGGGCACGAGGTGGCCCTGTCCCTAGCAACATGGGGGGCACTCCATGCCTTCATTCGCCCCGTCTGTCAGCGTAAGCACCGACTGCCAGCAAGCACTGCCTTCTTACAGGAGATACAGAGCAAGGGCACACGAGCGTGGAGAACATGCCGGGGACCGACTCACCTATGAGGAACATCACGAAGGAAACCAGCACCAGACCGACAATCAGCACGACGATCAGCCCCAGGAAAAACAGACTGTGGCTTCGACTTCCTGAGTTAGTGCCAACATCTGGGGTTTTCTCCTCCAGCGCTAATATCAAACAAACAAATAACAATGACGACAGAGGCTCCCCAGCCTGCAACTGGGCAGCGGAACCGAACCGTCTCCCACTCTTGGGGACGTAAGGGCTCTGCCCGGCCTCCCTGTCATCTCTTCAGGAAGGCACACTCATGTTTAAGGTCCTGGCTGCCCTCCGCGAATTTCTTACCGCCTTCTACCTTGGTACCAAAGAACAAGCAGGGGCAAGCTATCTCCTTACCGCTGTTTGGAAAGCTCTGTGAAGATCTGTTAACACTGAACTAGCAGAACGGATTGTTCTTTGGGGATGTGAAGGGATAAAAAAGTTAAGGGGTCAGAGGGATGGAGACCCTATTGCCCTTTTCCCAAAGTGACCCAGGAGTAAAATCAGTCGGCTGTGGGACGCCTGTTTTGGGTGGGAGGCTGAACACGCCAGGATATGCACCAGGAAGCTCATGTCACTATAGGAAAAATCAGTTAAGCCCACACCCATGTAAACAAAAAATGGCCTCGATGTATTCTGGTTTCTTAAAGCTGTTTTCAGGATGGACATGCTTATAAGACAGCTGCTTCACCTAAGCCGTGGATTGTCTGCGTTTGGTCATCATTTGGTAAGGCCTGCCCAGTGATGCCCAAATTAAATCGAATAAGAAATATGGAAACGTGGGGCGACGGAGAACCTTGAATTACGTTTGTCCTCTCTCCTACCTTCCTGCTTCGGTCTCGCACCTGTGCTATGTGATTACAGGTCGGTGGTGGCCTCCGTCCCATACTATCTCACCCCCCCGCCAGCCTTTGCTTCCTGATCAAAGCAGTAGCATAAGCTGGCACCCAAATGCCTACTTTAATTGAGAGTGACTGCTGGAAAAGCAGGTGAAAATCTGGATACATGCGAACAAGAGAAAAGCGAGATTTAGAAGGAGAATAATAGATATAAAATTGGGACGATACGATTTCGAGAGCGTGTGAAACAAATGCCAAGTCAGCACCTAACACCGGTGTTTGCGCGGCCGCGCTTGAGCCAGAAAAGATGGGACTTAGATCTCGTTCTGAGACAGAACGCGAACGCATTTGCAGCCCTCAGGGGCCGAGATGCGCATTTAGTATTAGCGGAATTTTTGTTCTGCTCTCCCCGCCCCGCTTCTTTCTAGCCTTTTAATTCGGGCAACTTTTCACTCGTAAGTAGAAAATGAAGATGACGTTTTTGCCCAACAAAACTTTAATGACTTTTAAAAAAACTAGGCACATGTGTGGAACATTTTCTCAGCAACTCACTGTGAAGTGAGACCTCCCTAGGACAGCGGGCGCCACGAGTGACCTGGCCGTGGTTACTGGAAGGCATGACAACAGCCCAGCGGGATGTGCAAGCCTCCGGGAGACCAGCTCTGTGGTCCCCACCCCTTTCCAGGGAGAGCAAGCCCGTGGGGACTTCTCAGAACTTTTGAAGACAGGGCTTCAAAGTTTGCTTAGGAGCCAAGAAAGCCCATAGCCTGAGGGCTATTCAGAGAACAAAAGCAAATCCTGGCAAATAATCAATAGCATTTCTGGTGTCAAGCTGATAGCAAGGTCCACCAGCTCCCCACACACCCTCACATCCGTGTCCGTCTGGAGCAGCATCTGCCTGGACGCTGGGAGGGCCGCTGAGCTGGGAGGACACACTTACGGAACAGATGCTGGGACCCGGCTGGAAAGAGGTTCAATTTGTTCAAGTCGTTTATGGAATCCACGACGTAAAGCTTTCTGTCTTCGTGAATGCCGTCGGAGCCAGCGTCCTGGGGAGAGTGATTCATTGTCCCTGGAACACGACAGCGGTGTTGCATGCGGGGCAGGCCGGGGGACTTCGCGAGAACCACAGTTGGCGGGAAGCTGGACGAGCCCACACATAGCCCCCCACACTCGCTGTTTCCAACCGGAGTCTTGGACAGGCTCTGCTTGTCCAGGAGAAAACAGTTCCTTTTGGGGACAACGCTGTACCTATTCTTTCTGCTTTGCTGGCCAGGAGCCCTGGAGTCCAGCACGCGGCCCAGTTTTAAGGACCGTGCAGTGCCTTCCAGCTTGCCTCTCTGCATGTGCTTGTTCCTTACCTCGATTTCTTAACCCCGCTTCCATTTTCCCTGGGCCTCCTTTTCATTTTGTGAGTGGTCTTTAAATATTTCTCTTTTATTACACAATTCATTTGCTGGTGAGATGTCTCACATCCTTTGTGCAAGAAGACCGTGTAACTACACAGAAAGATAAAATGGAGCTAGCCTATTACCGTGGACCACTACAGTCTGCACGAGGCTTTAACACAAAGCTGTCATTTTTATAGTCTCCTTCAACATGGTATAGGAGTCTCTACCTTAAAATGCATCCTTAGCCACTAGATGCTGCCCGTGCATCCTCGAGACAAAATCTGAACAAACTGAGATGACAAAGAAGCAGCCCGCAGCCTCTGGCGGCTAGACTCCAGGACCTCTGAGGTGTCAGTCCCCTGAGTGTCCTTAGATTGAGGTCGCTTACAATAGATCATTTTAAAATTAAGGTTCGCATTTAATGCAATATTCTCTAATGACAGCACAACTTCAAGCAACACTGAAAAGCCCGGATAGATGAAAATTTCTATTTTAAGATCTCGTGGCCTTTTAATCACATGAAAAGGGGCCTCTAGCAAGACAAATCCCAATCACTATCAGAGCTCTCCCTTTTTATCAAATGAGTCTAACGAGCGAGCGATCCAGGACTTTTCGGGTCTGGGAAGAATTTTAGGCATGCTCTAGTCCAGCCGCAATCTTTTCTACAAACGAGAGGGTTGACGCTCAGAAGGTTTAGTGCCAAGAGGACACAGTCAGCTGGTTGCAGAGCAGGAAGTGGGCCTGGAGCTCTGGAAGCCACTGTGTCTTCCCTCATGCTACCTGACTTCTCCACAGCCATCCCAAATCCTCCTTCTGACTCAGCTCAAACCCCACCTCCCCTAAGAATCAACCCGTCTTCCCCTGACACCCTCGCTGGAGCTCATACATTCTTCTATCGGGAATATTTTATAGCGTTGATTTGCTTACCTCTTTCATCTCCCCAGTGGACTGCAAACTGCTAAGGGCTGGCATCAATCCTATTCTTCAAATGCCCCGTGCCAAGTGTAGAAGCCAGTGACTTGTGTTAAGTTGGAACACCTAAGATATTTTATTGAGGACTTAAATCTCACTATTTTCAAAAGAATTTGAGGCAGTTAATAATAAGTACACTAATAGAAATAAAACTGAGGGTGAAAATTCTCATGTGATATTTATCTGGATTCTAATAAAGCCAATAAACTTTGTGCCTGCCTGTAAGTGGTGACACGTGTTTACTTCCTATTAACATTTAAACATTTTCCTTTAATATCCAACTACAGAATGAAGAGAAACAGAGTTAGGAGAAACCAACGTCAGGGAAAAAAAAAAAAAAAAAAAGAAGTGAACACCTAGAGAAGATCTGAAAGCATCAGCCCTTTACTAAACAGCTTAAACTGTGCGAAAAAACTTCAAAACCCAGCAGCTTCCTGGTAATACCTACGACCGACTACTACTTGTAAAAAAATATGCTCCCCAAACCCTTGCTAAAAAAAAAAAAAGAAAAAAAAAAAACAGTTCGAATAGTCATGTTGCTAAAAAAAAAAAAAAGAAAAAAAAAAAGACAGTTCGAATAGTCATGGACTGATTTTTTTTCAAAGTTAAAAATAAAAATGGTGTTTCAGTTTTCCTGCGATTTTAATAAAGAACACGAATTCCCTGAGCGTTTTAGATAAGTGAAGCACTTTAGATATTGATGTCACTGAATTCCAAACATAAACATGCTTCATGGAGCATTCCAAAAGAATGGAGCGACCAAAAAAAAAAGCAGCATATAGAATAAAGGGGCCTTGGAGGTCAATCAGATCTTATCCTCTTACACATAAAAGCCAAAGTGTTGACTGATGGCATGGTCACAGTTTTCTAAACGACTTTTCCAGAAATGTTTTCTATTTTATCATCTTTCTACTTTATTATCCCAAATACTAACATTTAACGAGGAATGAAATTGGTATGTGTCACATCATAGGATCGCTATTCCAAACACAGCTTGTTTGGGGCTTGGTGACTAAGGCAGGGTTCATTTCTGGACCTCTGACTCAATATCCTGACCCTTAGCTTCCCCCTTAGGAATGTAATTACCAGTGAGTAAATCTCACTCTGAGGCTTCATAGGCTTCATAGACATTTACGTGGTAGAGGGCTAGCTAGAAAATCATAACCACAAAAACTGCCTTAAGGGCAGGGCAGCTAATAAATTCTCCAAATTATTGGCCTTGCAACTGACTCAAAAGGTGACTCAATGTAATACCAAATCCCAAAGCACTAAAACAACTTAGATTGAGCTCTGAAGAAAATGTCACAATGTTGATAGGTGCTATTTCAATGTATTTTTAAATTAACTGCAACATGCAAACAGAAAATAATATTTAAAAAAAATTTTAAATTAACTGCATCATGCAAGCAGAGAAAACTGAGTTGGGTGTGTGTGGTTCACTGCTGTCAGATCCTGCAAATGACTCTAGAAGTAAGTGGATACAAGATCACATGGCCCCCACACCAGGGCCTACAGCTGTCTGACACCTCGTTGTTGCTATGTTTGGCATCTCCATGTGAGGGCATCTGGGAACAACCCGCAGGGCTAGAGGAGTCAGAGCCTTACTAAATTCTGCATCGAGCTGACTCGACCCACCTCCCCGACTCTGGTGTGCTAATTTGTTCGTTAAATAGATTAACCAAAGCAAGCATCCTTTTAACGGGACCCTTTCCAAGGCCTCGAGCTGAAACGTGTAAGTCATTTCATCTTCCTCTGGTTTAGATCAATGCTAGCAGCTGATTCTTTTTGTCATTTAGGAATTGACTACTTGCAGACAAATATATTGACAAATAAAGATAGTTGCCAAGGAAAAACTGCTTTGTTCTTTATTCCTCCCCACAGGTCCTTGGTATCAGACCGCAGAAATAACTCACACTAGTACGGCTTGCTGCAATATCAGAATTGTTATAATAGGGCTTAATTCCAGGCTAACAGGAAACTTTATTGAGTCGTGGTCATTTGTTCGTTAGTTCTGTTTCAGAGTCACTGCCTCTTCACATTCAGAAAGTAATTTTAAAAATCAAGTCTAAGTGATTTCTAGCAAAAGTTAAAAGCACAGAGCCCATGCAACAAAAAAACAAACGAGCCTCGAGAATCATAATTCAGTCTCATAAAGTAATAGCATGCAAATGACTTACGAAAACGTGACCTTCGACTGCTAGGTGACTATTAATTACTCAGAAGCAACTATCATAAATCTTTCTGCGAATTCTGTCGTTCGTCGTCTCCCTTCAGTGCACGGGTGTCCCTGCAAGGCCCACAAGCCTCAGCGCGAAACTGCTGGTCTAAATTTAGTGTTCATTTAGCCAAGCTGCGTGAGATCCCAAATGCTTTTCTCGTCCTGTCTGAGGTTTTCAGTAAATACATTACTGAAACTACGCTTTAATGGAATGCTCCTTGTGTGGACGCCCAGGAGCGCTGGGGCTGCTGCTCTGAGCTCTGACCGCCCGTTCGCTCAGGACTCTAGACCAACCGGGTCGGGGGTGGGCGGGAGTAAGGAGGGACAGACCAGGTCATGACTTTGTAACTGGGGTGATGGCCGGTCAGAGGACCGCTGGGGCTTCCAGGAGCTACGGGAAAGGACGGTGAGGAGGAGACTGCGTGGCTACGGCCCCGCCACGGGCTGGAAGCGCTGTGACCCCTCCGCTTCCCTTCCTGCCCAAGGCTTTGTCCTGCGAGTTCTGGGCACTCTCCTTTCTCAGAAATGTCGTCAGCCCTTCCCTTCTGCGGTGGCCTCACACGCACGCAAGGCAGATTGTGCCCTCTGCTGTGCACAGCAGCAGCTACAGTGGGATGGGCGATCCCACGAGCCGTCCCCACACAGACCAGCACAAACTAAGCCAGCAAGAGACCACGGGTCGGGTGGGGAGGTAAACTGATATGTGGCCCTTGATAATCCCTCCCACTGCCGTGACTAGACGGACCTTTGTCGTCCCTGAAACATAACTGCATGTCAATTCTCTGCTCCACAAATTTCCTTTACGCTGATATTCAATTCGGCCTCACTCTACTTTGGGGGAAATTAAGTGTCGTCAGGCTGCAGCTACATCGGAGGACTGGTCCCATGAAGACCACAGAACCAGTAAGCGTTTTCTCAAAAGCATGTTCTTTATACATTAAAATGCAATGTCAAATTTCTTGGGAAAGAAAATGTTTTTGTTAGTTGTTATTTTAATCACGCAGTTGTAAAAATAATCTCCAAACTACCCGATGCCTTAAACTATCTATCCTTTAAAGAAACGACTGCCTCATTGTGGGCATTCACCGTTTTGCTCTCGCCTGTAACCTGACGATCCCGTACACTACTAACTCCTCCTTAGGGATGACAGTGGAGACTAAGCAGCTTCTCATACCAAAGGCTGAATCCAACCGTGCTTTAGGCCAGTGAGGGGGTGAGATTGGTCATGGCTTCTGACCAGTTAGAATTCTGCAGAACCACTTAGGAGCAAAGAGCAGAGCAAGATAACACACCTCGCTTTACCTGAAAGGCCGTATGAAGTGCTTCTGGTCGCAAGAAGAAAATATTCTCACATGAACTGTTTAATCTGGGGACTTGATTTCAAGTATTTCTTGCTTTTTCTTTCAAGTATTGTATCTCACTTTATCTAGAGTCAACTCCCAGGAAATTCTGTAAATGGCATCAGAGACTTGAGTCACAGATGCTGCTGATTGCTCCAAAATTAATGCTTGAGCCTCAAAATTAAGAGCGTATTACTTACGCAGGGACTATTTTAAATCCCTTTAAAACAGCAAGATTCAAGGAAAGAACTGGTCTACCATACACCGTTTTACTACTTTCAAGAACATGCAAGTGTTTATACACGGACTCCCCAGTGACCTCGTCCAGCGAGCTCCCCTCTGGTCCTTAACATGCACATTCACGTCCCCTCACGCTCAGACCCCAGCAGAAAGGCAGAAGAGGAATAATAATGGCGAAACTAAGAGAATGAAAATAGGAGTAAAAGATACCGAACAAGATTTCAACCAGTGTGTTGCATACGGAGAGGAGACGGTGGTTGGCAGCCACCTGCCTTAGCGGATTCAGTGGGTGATGAGTGAGGTTGGCCGCCTCGTGGAATTCAGGAGGGCTCAGGATGGAGGCAGCAGTGAAGTACGGAGCTACACACGGGCAGGCAACTGCAGGTTGGCCAAAAATAAAAATCCAGTAGGAAGGGTGAAAAAACCATGTTACAGAAATCTCCCCAAAAGAGCAAGAATAAGGCCGGAGGCTCAACCCAGCCGCTCTAGAACCTTACGGAGTTTCCAGAAAAAGGGTGTGTGGGTGGGGCAAGGGGCAAGAACTGAAAAGTATTTTCCGGTTTGCCACAGCCCACCAAAGCATACTATCACGTAACTTCAGAATGACTAAGAACAAAAGAAAACAAGGAAACAAATCAGAAACAAAATCGCATCAGATTATCAACATTTGAACTAGAAGCCAGGAGCAAAGCATTCAGAATTCCAGATTTTCCACCTGGAAATTTCTATCCCAAGGCAACAGCCTTAAAGTCTCGTAATAGCTGACCCTCCACGCAGCCCCAGCCTCGTTCCTGAAAGAAGTGTTCCACGCCAAGGAACCTGAAGACGTGGGGTCCAGGACACGTGGAATGCAACTCACGGGAGGAAAAGCAGTCGGGGGACGGTGGTCTCAGGAAACAGCCATGCACCACCAATGAGAGAGAAATCGGTTTGTGCGGGAACTGGTATCCTGGCGGGCTCTGACCACGTGGAAAATGGATTCGGTAAGTTTTAGAGCTACTTGGGACTGGGAAGAATCGGCGTATATAAAACGAAGTTAACCCCTGTGCAGAACGCTGTCTGGGAAGGAACTCTAAGCACAGCGAACCATCCGGTTCAGGGACGAACACAGAAACGTGGTCACTGCGACGCAAGCAATGCTGCTGACCGGAAGGAAAAAGGCAAACGTCTTTACCTACTGGAAAGTGTCAGAGGTCTAAAAATGATACACTAAGAAACAGCTGTAGCGCGTATAACCTCGCAATCTAACATCAAGGTGCTAGGGAATCACTGAGGGCTGACTTTCCTCCGGGGCTGGGCCGGGACAGAGCAGGGAGCACTTTTCAGCCTGCAACTATTAACCCACGTATACATCATCACTTTAATCACAGCTCGTTTTAATATGCATGTGTGGAAATTAAAAACTTAGGAAAACACTGCTTGCAAATCTTTCCCAGGGTTCTGACCTACTGGGAATGGAGAGGTGACAACACACAAACCACAGCTCTAGATGCCACGGCTGTTTTCCACAACACTCTCACCCCCAGCAGTGACAGCGACACGTCTCTAGTGCACACTGTCCCACCCCTCACGCGCCTCGTCACTGCTTCCTGCACCGATACCAGCGAAGCACGTGAATTCGAAACTGCAGATGTTGCCTGTGCGATGTAATTTTAACATAAACGTTAATAATGAAGTCCTAACGCACTGTCACAATGCTTACAACTTTTCTGTAAGCGAAAAACCATCTCATCAGGTCAGTCAAGCAGCAATGGTCTTAGAAGTCAGTAACCAGAATCCCAATGATATATTGCTATATTTTTTTCATCTATTTTCCTATTTCCAAACATACAGAGTAAAGTATGTCTCCCCACCTCTGTACCCAGCTTGGTCATTCTGAACCCTGTACCTGAAACCTATAAATGATGTTTCTTCTGTTAGAAAAGGAGCACTTTTAGTGTGAAAAGATCTTTATTTCAAAATAAAGAGCAGAGGTCTTATACAATGGATAAAATTAGTGTAACTGCCGTGTAACTGCCCCCCCCCCCCAAGTCAAGGTTAGCGACCTTTCTGGCTGTGCTAATTCATCTCGGACACCGGACCCACTGAGCAGCCTTAAGTGTAGCTGTAAGGTCTTACAGTATACTTCCCTGTGTTGATCCCAGTGACAAAATTAAAATTATTAGGTTCCATTTAAAAGTAAACACAGTAGCTTTCCCAGAAGAAACAGCTCCGTAAACTGTATCCAGAACTTGTCTCAGATCTTGAAAACCTTGTGACATCTGTGTCATTATAATAATGCAACTGACGACCACAGTGTAAGACATTTAATGTTGGCTAATAGTTTTCTTATCATGAAATACCATATTTTTACTCTCTTCATAAATAGAAAATGACCAAACATTACAATTTATTCATGTTTGCTGATTACATTTACAGAGAATATTCAATAATCAGAACTCACCATCTGTAATACTGTACAAGTAATATAACCCCTGCTATAAAAACTATCTATTGTGACCCAAGATAAAAACTGTCTCGAGTTTAAACACATCAGAAATCACAAAAGGGAAACGCAAAGGGAGCGAGAAGGGTCCCGGAAGGGAGCGCGAAGGGTCCCGGGCGCCGAGGGCCTAGAACTCTCCGACGTCTGCTCTCTTATCGCGGCACTTGCTCCGAGCTTTGGTCCGCGCTTTGAAGGCTGCAGAATTGTACAAATGCTGCAACGGGGAGAAGGGACAGGCACGTGAGCCGGGACGACCAGACGGACAGAGCCGCAAGCCCACAGAGGAGAGGAAGGAGCTAATTCGACCCTGTATTTTAAATGTTCATAACACACTCACACCAAAGGAACACACGTGATAGTTCTCTACATGAGAAAATTCCAATGAAAAAATTTTTAAAAAGTGTATCGACACTGAGTCTGATCAAGGAAAAGTGAAATTATGAATGTAAAAAATGTCCAACCATGCTGAAAGTTCCATTTTAATTCCAACAAAATTTTAAAAGTATAAAACTCAATGCTGCAAAATATGCAACAGCTACATGCTTGTATCCACTGCCAAAAACAGTTCAGAATGACAGAGTAACTCCGGAAGGTCATTTGGCAGTATGTATCAAAAAGTCATGATCCAGCCCTATACTCCAACGTAAGGATTTGTTTCAAGAAATAATTCAAAAAAAGTATGTACAAATAATATTAAAAACCCAACAATGAGTGATGTGGTCATAAAAACGATTAAATTTAAAGATTCTATAAAAATATAACTAAGCACTCACACCTACCAGGATGCCCATAATTGAAAAAGCGATTGACAAGTGCGTGTGCAGACATGGACTGTGGGGCCCTCCCACGCTGCTGGGGACTGTGAGGGTGCGGCTGCCTTACAGAAGTCTGGCAATCCCTTCAGGAGATAAACTCAGACCTGCTACGTGACCAGCAAGCCCGCTCCGAAGTGCACACCTAGACGCACCGAAAGCAGGTGCTTAATAAGATCTTGGACACGAATGTTCACAGCGGCACCATCCATTACAAGTGGACCCCTCCCAGATGCCCACTGGCTAATGAATGGGATGAGCGTGGGGCAGCCACATGGCCAAATGACGCTCTGCCACAGGGAGGGCTGGAGCGCTGACGTCTGCTGTGACACAGGTGGACCCCAGTGACACGTGCTGGGTGCAAAAAGCCAGACGTGAAGGGCCACGAGCTTGACAGCTCCAGAATGGGCCAAGCAGAGGGGCAGAGTCAGCAGCAGAGGACGCCAGCCGCTGGGGCGGGGTGGAGGGGGCAGTGAGCGCTTCACGACTCCACGCTCCTTCTGAGGACTAAGTGGTGACGGGTGCGCAGCACCAGGAATGTGCTAAATGCCTGCACCCTGTCGAGTAGGCTGATTCACGTTACGGGAATTTTACCTCCATATAAAATAGATAATTAAGACATTTTAAACGGGAAGTGAGATATTAATTCCTATGTAACGTCACACACTCTCTGAGACCTTCAGTGTCCTCATTTGTAAAATGAGTCTGGTACTTAGTTATCTGGTACCAAAGCAGCACTGCGTAAATTATTTATTCTTATGTATAAAAGGAAACAAAAAGTAAAAGTAACTTCCACATTAAAACAGGATTATGGGTAAAAAGTCTGCACTCCCCCCATGATAGTCCCTACACCTGGGTGCCATGACTGTGCCTGCGTCACGAGGCTCTGCGACCCCACGGACACAGCGGAGCACCTGTCACCCGGCAGAGCCGAGGCTCCGGCTCCGCTCTCTCTGGTGCGTTAAGGTCTGTTGGAAACAAAAATAAAACCCACCCTTTCAAAACGAGAAATCTTCATCGTTTTAAGCGTTGCAGCATCAAGCATCACCGGGGGTCCAAGTTCAAACACATTGCGAAGGAATTCATTTGACTTTGGTAAAAGAAAAAGGTGATAAGGCTCAGCATCAAATCAGCTCTTTTTTACTACATAAAGTGAAATCGATTCATTAAAGTTCTGTGGAGCTTATACATGTGAACTTAAGTCACTGATTTTCTTTCTCTGTCACATGAGAACAAATTTTCTTCTGAGGCAGCCATGGGCCAACTATTTGTTTTCACGCAAAATATGAACGATGCTCCACTGGACTTGAATACAAAACAAAAGGACAGTTTTATTTGTATTTAATTTCACTTCCAAAAGTAAATTTACTGTTATGTATCATGGTGAAAGCATTGTGTATTCAACTAACATCAAATGCCAATTAGCTACGTTCAAAACTGCTCTCTGGTTTAAAAGCAAACAGAGAAGACCTTGGCGCTCACCTGCAGGTGGTACTGCATCCCGGATCCCAGAATCTCCTTAAAGGTGTCATAGGTGTGTTTTTTGACCCAGCAATCAATATACATGCGTTCAGGACCGAATTTAACCGTTTCTGTTGGAAAATCCCGTTCCTAGCCAACAAAAGAACCAAAGCTATCAGAGGAAATAAAATGGTCTAAAGAGACTCTACATAAATAATTTCTAACTAGACATACACGTGAGAGGAGTGAACGATGGGGTTACACCGACACCTCCGCCCCGAGACGCGCATGGACCGAAAGCACCGCTCTGCGTGTGCAGCCGTGGTGGGCTTGGAGGCACAACTCAGTTTGCATAAATTTAGTGGCGAAACACTGTGGATGTTCTGAAATCTCAAAAGCGCTCAAGAAAATTGAAGAAAAAGTCTAAAGCTGCGTCTGGGAAGGGAGGGAGAGAAGGCTGCAGGGCGAGGCACAAGACGAGGTGCCCCACGAGCCAGGGCTGGAGCCGAGGGGAAGCTGGGCTCTGGAGAAGGGAAGACGAACGGCCGACCGAAGGAGAAGGCCAGGAGGGACGGAGCAGGCCCACCCGACCAGGAGGGGCACGGCTGAGCTCAGGATTTCGGACGAACAGTTCGCCAGAAGACAATTTCTAAAGTGTAACCACGGGAGGGGACAAACACACCGTAGGGTTTTCCAAACGGTGACAGGCCTTGGGAGGCACCACTCTTTGATAAATCACGAAGGTGGAATGACAGCCAGGACGAGAAGGGATGACCACCACGGACAGAGAAAGAAGGGCTGGGACTTCCCAGGCACAGCCACTCCTGCGCGCCCCCAAACCCCACCCCCCCGCGTCAACCCCGCCCCTTCTCAGCGGACTCGGGGCACAGGGCGGCACAGGGCGGCACAGGGCCGGGAGAGAACTCCTAAGGCTTTCCCGGGTGTGCCACTCGCCGGCTTTTGACTCTGGCAAGTAACTTAACCTCTTTGGGTCTGTTCTCCTGCCTGTGACACGGGGCGCCTCTGCCTCACCCACACGAGGTGTCAAGGGGGTGAGACAGAGCGAGTCTGCGAAGCACTGCAGGCCCTGGTCTGCCAGGGCAGCTAGGAAACAAGCAAGCAAGCCCCAAACGGTGGATTCTCGTTCAGAGAACACTCTGGCAGTCGGGAAGCGCTCTCTACACTTGTCCACAGCCTCCCCACCCCCCGCGAGCGAGGCTGAGCATCTCTCAACTGCCTCGGCTCCCAGTCCGGCTTCCAGTCCGGCTCCCATCTTTCAGACGCGCCTCCCCGCCAGGTCCTTCGCCACGCGCTGTCTCTAGCATCTAAACCGAACAAAACCACCAACCCTCCCGCGACCGTGACCTTCCCACTGCAGCCACACTGTGAAAAGCACAGCAAGATGCGCCACCTCCGCTTCCTCACGCTCACTCCCCGATCCGCCTCAGTCTGGCCACTAACGCTGCTCTCGTAAAGGTCACCAGTGGCCTCCTCACTGACGGATCCAGCCACTCCGTTCTCGCTCCCGCCCCGTGTGCGGTGTCTGGCCTTGCTGGAAGGCAGCAGAGCACAGCGGGCTCAGAGCGCAGCTTCACTGCTCGGCGTTAACTCTTCCTCTGGTGCCCGTGCTTCCTTTAAAAGACGATTCCATTTGCTAAACGCTATCACGGGCTTAACAAAAGAAAACTGCATGTTAAAGCACCTAACATGTTAAACGCCTGCTGATCTAAAGGACACATGAGCTTCAAGAAAGATTTTCAGATGAAAAGAAATGGGGCGGCAGCAACCACACCACAAATGGAAAATTCTCCTCTGCAGCAGCTGAACAGCCTTGGCTTTGAAGACCCATCAAGGAAAACAGAGAAAGCTGGGTTCCAATGACAGAAAGGACAAGGACGCGGCAAGGCTCAGAGGGCGGGCCTTCGGCAGGTGCGCCCACACAGGGCTGGAGCGAGAGAAGGCAGTGGAGGAACTGAAATCCTGAGATGGAGACGCGGGGGCGGGACGGGGGAGAACTGTGAGCAAATGGGGCTTTCGATTTTAGCAATGACCGACGGGGAGGGGCGAGGGGCCCGGTGAGCGGTGACACACCAGGATGCTGCATGTCCGTCTCAGAGGAAGGAGTCTGCGCTGCTGACCCCTAAGACCCACCACCCAGACAGGGTGCATCCAGCCTGAACCCCGGGAACTGGGTCTAATTCAGAAGTCCTGGGACACGTCTCTTGATTTTATAGTCATTTTCTTGAGTAACTATAAATTACCCCTATATCTGACTTCTCTGGCCAACAGGATCCAAACACAGGAATAGTTTACAGATATCCAAGAATTCAGCTTGCTTAATTTGGGGACAGACAGCACCACACTAATTAGAAGACAAATAAAATCAATTCTTAATATGGATGTCTGCTCTAGTTAGGGATTTTTTTGTTAAATTATAAAATCCAGAGTAAATATAAAATACCACTATAATGCAGTTAGCACTAACCAAAATTAGACCCCAGAGGATCTCTAAACTAATTTAAACCCTAGGCTTTACTTTTCGAAACAGATTAAAATGAAGGAGGAAGTTCTCAGGCGGGCCTCATGAGTCACTAGAGCATGTTGAACATGGATCCGGGGACCTTGGCATCTCTACTTTTTAATTCCCACTCTAAAATTTCATGTGCATGTCTGGCTGAATGACTCTGCTGATACACTTATTAAAAGAACTGCCCTTTACATCCAAGAAATACTTTTACGCGGACACACGCACACTAAGCAACTGCACAGACTGCGGTCCTGGGGTAAGCCGGCCCGCATCCCAAGCTTTCTTCTGACCGCGCGTTCTACGCCCTGAAGGTTGCCAGGGAGACTGAGCAGGCCAGAGGATCACAGAAGGGCCTGGAGCACTGCCTATGACTTTAGGCGGCCTCATTAAAACACCGGACTTTGTTGTTCCAGTTTTTAGCACCCGGCCTCCCCAGGGCGATCACAAACGTCTTTGTCTGAAGGTGCTGAGGGGCAGGCAATAATCTCCTATTCACAAAACACTATGCTACATATGTATACTGAGCGCCGTGGCTTAAATGATGGTGGCTTAAATGATGGAAGACCGTCAAGGTGAAATGCAATTCTATCGCTATGAATTTTTTTTACATGTCGAAAATAAATTTTTCTTTGTAAAAAAAAAAAAAAAGTTTTCATTATTGTTGTTAAAAACCCACTCAGTCTGAAGATGAGAAAATTAGTTTGGTTAAAGGTGAAGTTCAATCACAAATGACCCGACTGTCAAGCCCGGCCGGAAACAGCCCGATCGGCCCGAGCATGACGGGGTCGAGGCCCACCTCCACCGCCCGCAGGACGTCTCGGAACACCGAGCGCTGCTTCCGCTTCTCCACTTTGGCCCGGTGCTTATTCCCATCTGTGGCCAAAGCCCTGAGCGTGTGAGTCAGAGACTCCATGTCTTCGTAAAAGAAGTCCTGCGGAGGGAAAAACAATTCGGTTCAGCGTGTTCCTGCGCCCCGCCATCCCCCGACCCCTCCTAGAGCTAACACAACTGTCGCCCTGAAGAGTGACGGCAGCTCTGCACAGGGCTTGGCTCACAGAGACGTATCTTTATCACCACGCCAAAATCCAACCCAGAACCCCGACAAGGCGAGACGCTACAACGACCAACAGACGCCCCCCATGCAAGCGTACCCAGATGCCTGCAGCAAACGGATGCTGCACTCCGACACAGTCGACACACTACCAGGGTTCAGAGGCTCAGGGAGTCAGACACACACGGACCAGTATAGCTTCTACCCTTTGGCTCCCCCCAGGCCCAATGCAGATTCCCACAATTCCCAGTATTCTGATTCCACAAGTGCAAGTTATCAGTAATGCTTTCTAAAGCACCTAATTTCAAATTTACTGGCCATATTTCAAATAACCAATAAAGCATTTATATCGCAGGCAACTCAAATGATTAGGATATTTTAATCCCTTCTGGAGGGAAGCCACAAAACATATTACTATTTGCCATTACCTTGAATTGAGTTTGGGTTTTCTTGTAACAGCTTAAGTGGCTATGCTTTTACAAAGTCTCTGTATTTTGGGTGTTTTTATTCCCTAACTACATTTTACAACCACATTAGAAACTAAAAGATGATTCGAAGTTATTCAGTTAGCCAAAACTAGGACAGACCCTTACAGAAGCCAGAGGTGAGCAGTTCTAGTTATTAATACCTGTTTAACCTTTATTTTAAATTAGCAGTAATAATTACTTAACTTATTCTATTAAAATAAGCTCTTATTCTGGGAATTCTTCAAATTATATAGCTATACAAATGTATAAGTAATTTCTTTTAATATCTAAAATGAAAAAGCTTATACTAGTGGAAAATGGGCTCGAAATTAATATAATAGATACTCTAACTTTTAAGTACATGAATTTTTTTTTATTGTCAGTATTTTAGAAATTGTGTATTATCAACTGTTGTAACATATTTTCTTCAAATATTCCAATTCGGCCTCCCATGTCTGAGTTAGCCCAAGCCAGCCCCCTGAGGATTTGCATCTAGAAAAGCAATTACCAAAGCTGACGAGGTATTAAAACACATCAGTTAAGTTAATCTCTGTATTTAAATTTCAATAAATTTGATTCTATCATAACAAGATAGAAATAATTTTACTTGTAGAAACGAGTACATTCAGGCACTGGCAGTTTTCTACTCACTCCATTAGAGAGAGAGAGAGAGAGATTTTTATAGTCGTCTAAAAAAAATGTATGGAAGATTTAAGCATACTTATGGAAGAATAAACCAAAATTTAGAAAACTACACAGTATCTTAATTTGTTCTAAGAACTGGGAACCACTACCAGCAGTTTTTTGACAATTATACCTCCCATGAGACAACTGATTATGACTGGAGCCACTTCTGGTTGTCGCCTCTAGGAGCTGCTACCGGAATCTAGTGGGCAGAGGCCAAGGATGCTGCTAAACATCCTACAATACACAAAACAGAGCCCCCTTCCAACAACTTATAATTATCCAGTCCATATATCGACAGTGCTGAGAGAAACCCACTGTAACTGAGCTCAGCAATCAATAAAAATCTAGTTAACAGTCTGAATCACTGAGGTCAATAGAGTATTAACTTGGAAAAATAAACATTAAATATTAGGAAAATGTCTCCATAAAGTATTTGGGGTTTAAAAAGAAAATGTAAACTGTAACAGAAATTATAGCATCCAAAAGCCAATGCACTGGCGATCTGGATAACTATACAGAAACACTATACACTCAGGAACGAATGAAAACCTGAACCCATTGATAATACAAAGAAAGCAGCAGAATCATCACCACACAACAGGTGTATGCTGTCTACCTGCAGGACTTCCCGTCAGGGCAGGTGGGGGTGGAAGAGGGAGAGCTGAGAAGGTGCGATGTCACTATGCTTTGGTATATTTTCCTGAGCTAGCACATCGCATGGCCCCAAGATCTGTAATTCTGCCCACAAAATAATCTTGGTCTTATTTTCGGTTACCCTCAAGAACTCATAAAAGGCCACTAAAAGACTGCCAGAGAGGGTGACAGTCAACTCAATGGACAATTAGTGACAGCTACCACTCCCCCTACACTTACCACGTGCTCTCGGCAACCCTAGGAGGTAGCTCCTACCACCTCCTCGTGCTGAACACAAGGGTGCCGAGGCACAGAGAATAGGCCCAGCGCCATCTGACGAGTGAAGCTGGAGACCAGAGCCCACCCAGGCGGCGTGGCCGCACGTGCACCCCCACCTACTCAGTCACCTAGCAAACACGGGCCTCACCCAAGAGCTCCCGCTGACTCCTCAAAAGCAGCTCTGAACGAGGCACCATCACTACTTCGCCAGGTCCCTCTGTGAGGCCTGAAAGCCAGCTCTCCACAAGGCTTTTCCTAAGTCTCGCAGGCAGAACCCATCACACTGCTAGAGCCCCAGTTGATATAAAGTCATAAAATAATTACGTCAGCAAAAGGCTCTAAATAATTCAATACTACACGTTTGCCACAAGGACCCAAAGTTAAGTCAATGCCTATGGATTCATTAACCTTGGTTTAATTTTTTGAACATCCTATAACCACCACCACCCTCTACTCTGACCCTGTCCACTCACTCCATTCAAAAAGCTTATTTCCTTAACAAAAGCAAACACACAAAACACCAGGTTCTACTTTACAACCCAGTTCATTACTGTCCTAGACAAGTCCTTGGTCAAGTGAGACACGTGTGGATGAGGTCTCTTGGCCATCTCACATGATGTCTCAGGCCAGAGAACATTAAGACGTGTGGGTTGTAATATACTTTGTGTATACAAATTTACACAAATTCAACAAGTATCAATTTAAATTGCGTTAATATTTCACTATTAAGATGTATTTCAAGGAAACAAAATTACCATTTCTAACCAGTGGAGGAACGCAAGATAAAAACTGGGACATCTGGTTAAGGAGCCATTAACTAGCTCAATAAAATCAAATCGAATGCTAAACTTGAGTCCGATTTCTCACGTGATGAGAATCATCAGCTACTGACAGCTGTAACAACTTTTCAGTGCTACCTGCTATCCTTCAAAAAAAAAAGGGGGGAGGGGGCGCATGCTAAAAAAGACAACTCCCAGATAGAAATTTTAAGAGCCTGTACATTTTTTCAACAGTCTGAAATCATTCACTGTTGAATAACTGAACTGCAGGAAAGTTTCATTCTGGAAATACAATCTTTCTCCTTAAATTAAAAAGCATCTAGTAAGTGATCCTAAGTTCACAACAGAGGTCACAAATCAGGATGACCAAATGTCCCAGCTAGACTGAGGGCTTTCGGTGCTAAACCGGGAACGCCACCAGGACGGTGGGTCGCCCCCCACCCCGGAGCACCTGAGAGAGAAGGCAGCAGCGACGCCCACGAGTGGACCGGGGTGGGAGTGCAGAGCGCAGGCCCCACCGACAGGTCGTGTCCGCTTCCGCCGGCGGCACAGAAGCTAAAAGCAGTGGCTCAACTCATCTGATCCAAACCTACGCCGACTCAGCACCCGTCTGCCTGACATTTACTATCGAGCGTCCACGCCTGAATTCCTTCCCCTGTCCGAAAAACCTAAGCAGACCCGCACAGATCAAACCAGACACGATTCTCTCCATGGGGCACAGAGCGCACCCCAAAACGTCAGTTGCACAGATCGCAATAATCAAGTACAATGAACTTCATTCAAATGCTGCTCTAGTGGCCACCACTGGTTTATGCTCTCACGAGTAATCACATCACCACCACCAGGAAACGGGCAGGTGACCACGAGGTTCTCGAACTGGCCATGTGCCGACATAGCAATTCTTCACTGCGAAGGTGACAACAGAATAAACGATGGTCCCTGTGAGAAAAGCTCTCTCCTCCTTCAACTCGGCAGACACTTACACTCTCCATTCCTCTGGCCAATTCGAACAGAAGCGCCAAAGATTCCCCAGCAGCTATTCTCAGGTTCACGTCATCGGAAGACAGGAGGCTTGGCAGTTTGTGGAAATGCCTAGGAAACAGTCCGTCGTTACTACGCAAACACAATCAACATCAGTAACGTGCTTAGAAAACGTGAAGTGACGAGTACGCACATCTCCAGCCTTTTCTTCACTTCGCTGACGGGGCACACGGTCAGCAGCAGCGTCCACGCGAGGAGCGCACTGACCTGCAGCCCCGCACCGGAGGCGCTGCCCACGACACGTGTGTCCTTCTCTTTGAGACAAGACTTGGTGAAGACGGTCTCCAAACACTCCAGACTCGAATACAGCTCCTAACACGTGAGGATACGAGATGAGATGACCGTCTCAAATTAGAAATGATAAGGTAAAGGGAATCAAAATGCTTTCTACTCACAGTAATGTCGTCTGTGGCAATAAAAGAGCAAACGCCAAAGCAAGTCGCACACTGAAAGGACAAACAGAGTAAACAGACATTAATGTTTATCACTTTCTACTAATCCTACATCTTCCCGCTTTTATAATTCGATTTGAGAATTTTCCCAACTACGTGACATTAGGTCCCAAGCACAGTATTAACCAGAGAGAGACTATTCAGTTGAGAGCTCAGGGAAGCAGGCCTGGCCCAATCCCTGCGAGGCGCACAGCACGACGTCAGGAAAGTCACTCCATCTCTCTCGGGCCGGCCTGCCCGCCTGCAGTTGGCAGACCACTTCAAACTCATTTCCAGCTCAAAGACAGAGATATGTTTGGATGTTTGAGATAAAGAAACCTACTCTCTCCATTAAAAACCTTTTAAAACATTGTTAGCTCCAAGTTTTTAACCTCTTAAAATCATTTATATTCATGTACACTCTATTATGAAAACTTCTAAAAGAAAATTAGTTCCAAAAAATAGCAAATAGGAGAAATCTCATAAAATTTAAATAACTCTAAAGAAGGATTCCGATTTTACTTATTTGGGAACATGATGAAAAGAAACTGAGCGTCTTTGTTGGGGAAACACGAGCTACACAGTGAGGGCGTGGCAAGGTCACCCAGGTACAGCTTACCCCACAAAGTGCTCAGAAGCCAGTATCTGCAGATAATCTGCTTGCGCCATAAACTGGAGCATCAGTTTTCAGAACATTGCTCTAATTAGCCACATAAAATCAACTTGAAATTGTGAGATTTCGTTATTCTCCATTTCCCTTTTCTCCATATGTTGTCACTAAAATTCCCTCATGCTGTTTCAAGTACCACCAAAACTGGAGTCGTCAAAGCCACCACTCACACGCCCAGGGTATCCTGGCCAGGCAGAGCGATCAGTTCGAGCCCTTATACTTACAGTCTGCCTGGCCTGGACGCTAGCGGCTCCATCGCAAATTATTTTCTTCAGGATCGGTCCAAGAGTTTTTAAAACCTCTTCACTTTCAATTCCAGGGCCCAGCTGAATACAAAGAACAGACGCTAACGCTGCGGCTGCACGCTGCTCATCGCTTTTACCTGTGAGAGGCCAAGAAGCAACCATGACATTTTCGGTCGACTAACTTAAGGCAGCGATTTCCCAAGTTGGTTCCATTTCCGAATATGCGCTCCCATTTACAAAACCCATAATACATGTGCTTGGAGCTTTGACAGAGCCATGAACCAATGAGATTCAAGAGCTCAAAGTCTGCAAACTGACCTCGCTCAAACCCTACACACACCACTGATTAGCCAACTGATCTTCAACTAATTGCTCACATGCTCAAAACAGATTTCCTCATCTGTAAAACTGAGACTAATGCCTACTTTAAGAGGGACTAACAGTTCAGCAAAATAACGTTTCCAGCCCACCTGACATTCCCAATGCTTCCTGCACCCACGGACCCATGCTCTGGGAGCCTGAATCACTCTCTCCAGCCTTTCAGATGTGCATGGCCCATGAGGTAGACCAAACCATCCCCGTTCCTCACCCCTCCCCCACAATTTTTAAAACTAAGACATTAAAAGTCAAGGATTCTTTAACACCACAGAAAACATCAATATAAAGGTAAATAAAAATGAACTCCTTTGAGAACTGTATATACTGAAGGATTTGGGGAAATTCTGAACTTACGTAGTTATCTGAGAAATTAAAATTTTATAAAATATGCAGGTTGAAATGGGATTTTTAAAGGTCGCCTAGTCCCACTACCTTATGAGACAGCTTCCACGTAAACACCTTTAACAAAGCCACTGTGCTATCAAAGCAGGCTGGCTCTGCTATCGACTGACCATACCACGACAGTTACATAACCTTCGGCCGGTCTCACGTTGCCCAGGCCTTTCTTTGTCACACAAAGAGGAAGGTGGACCAGATCAAAGTTTTCCCAACACCCTTTGAGATAAAGCTTCACCTGCGGCAAAATGAGATTAAGGACACAAAACTAATCTCATTCAACCTAAAGGGATGTGTGGCTTCCTACATTTGTGGTGCTAGAAACATTCCGTTTAAATAAAGTGATGATGATAGTAAAAGGTATTCTTATAATGTTCTTACTTGGTAAAGAAACTACGGTGGCAGTCCCAAATCTTTCTAATTTTGGTGGTTCCTAAAACTGAAAAGCCTGGTAATACTAGACTTAATCTTGAAGGCCTTTCTTTACTCTTAAAAGTTCTATAATTTTAACAACATGAATTCCAGAATCTCCATTACAAAGCTCTAGAATTTAAATATTCCAAGGAACATCTTGAATACGATGTCATCCACAGGTATGATTGATGTTTTAAATAAGTACAAGGAAAAATGAGCTAATTTTAGAATAATGAAGTAGGATGGCTTTTTAAATAATACTTTTGTTGACACCTGACATAAGCTTTCAAGCCTTTCTCATATACACAAATGGAAATCACCCTTCTGATATAACAAAGGATGATAGTCACGCCAACCCTCCCTAGTTTCAGGCTGTTTATTACGTAAATAAAAACAAAGCTTCTGACAAGTCAGGGTTTGAGTTTTAACAAGCACGGAGTACTCCTCGACAATTCTAAAGCTATACAACTGAGCCAGTCTTCCAGTGCCATTAACATGTTATTGCAAAGAAGGTAGAAAACTCCTTTTTGGTTCTGTGCCTCTGACTCAAAAACAAGGATATTACCTTTTTTCAGGCAGCGTTCAATGCTATCAGTTAAAGTCATTCTTCTTTCCAGAATGAATTCGTAAAGCATTTTTGAAGCCAGTGCATTTTTAATACCTTCAAGAGCTGCCTGCCTCGTCTTCGCGCTGTTTAAAACAAAACGTTAAGAGAAAGAAGTTCCAGTTGGAGTGTACCATCCATGACTTAAATACTTATTTCTCCTCTCAATTTTTAATAGATTTTTAAAATATAATCAAGTTCTAAACATTTTTAGTAACGTAATTTTCATCTACAACTCACTTATTTTACAAAAGATTACAAGCTGCTTTATATCACAGCATTTTTATTAATTTAATAACCACAATTTTAAATGACTACACAGTATTTTATAGTCTCAATGTACAAGAGATGTTCTCTCTCACATTACACGTTTAAAGCAAATTCACATTTTTTAACACTACAAAAGTCTAGAGTTCAAGTTTGCATCTTTTGGGCCTTTTAATTCCATTTGTTTTAAGTCACTTCTAGAGCTACTGGGAAGAAAACTAGCTTTGAAATTTTTCACATCTGTAACCAAATTAGTGAACACAAGCTTAAAGAAAGTTTAGTTGTCCTTCCTGGTTGAAGATTAACTTTTAATTCAACAAATCAAGCTCAGTTATAATCAAATACAGTTCTGTACTATTATGCCATAACAATGACTAATCTGAGTCAATCAATCTAAATTCTACGGCAAGTTTCTATCCACATTAAAAGTCCAAAGGAACAAGAAACATTAATATCATCCAAAGTAAACAAAGCAAGCTTTAGAAACACACAGTTGAACCAGAGAACTGTTCACATTATTCAGATCAGGTGGCTGCTAGAATAGCCCAAAATGAAGTTTCCAGAGCTTCCCACCTCTTATCCAGGGTCAGGTCAATGAACCCCTTCAACTTATACTCCAAGTCTTCTTGAGTTCCCTCCTCGTCGAGGATTTCTGGTCCTAAGGAATAGCATAAAGCATCCAACCGCTATAAGTTAAGCAGAGAAAAAGCAGATGGGGAACACTACTACTAGTATACCTAGCTACAAGAAATCCTCCACCTAAAACATCCTATACCTAATCCTCCACCTAAAACATATTATACCTAATATTGCAAACTGAAATTTAAAATGCATACCAAAAACAAACAATTAATTAAATTAAATGCATACCATCTTCAGCAAAACTGGAGGGGTCGCTGTACCCACTGCAGTGGCTCATTGTTTCAATCGAGGCATCTTCATCACTAAATGGTTGAACATTTCGATGCTGGCCACCTATTAGGTGAAAGGTGGAGGTAAATGATTTTGTTGTCATTTATGCAAATATTTAGCTTGGGAATTTTCAAATTTACTGATGCTAAATCCAGTAAAACCCAATCTTACTTAAGAAAACATGATTATGTTACGAAGGAACATACTTAAATACTACTAAAAAAAGTCAATTCACCTAATACGTACTTCAGAGCATCAACAATTTGCAAAACGCATCCACTTCAGAAATATATCAATCATCTAACAGGCAGTATCGGTTTACAAAAATTGGTATTACAGATGAAAACGTTACTCTAAACCATGACTTCAAATCATGAGACAATGACTACAGATCCAGAAATAAAGTATGACGTCACAGAGCATCATAACAACATAAATGTATTTTCCAACGAAAGCGCCTGGGCTTAGTAAACACTAAGTGGTGAATGAGTTAGTCTTTAGGTTCATGTGTTTTATGTGAAGGGGATTTAAGGAGTTACAGGATGGTAGTTTTAAAGATAACTTGAATTGGCGGGGGGGGGGAGCCTTAAAAAAGTAGTTTTGGCATTTGACATAACATAAAAGACTGTTAGACGAATTAGCTTTAAAAGAGAGGTTCTAATATAACCACAGTTTACTAAAAAATAAAATCTTTTTTAAAACTGGACTCTTTCTCCCAACTTCATTAACCTAATAAATCCATATTTTTAGTCATTGTCATTTCTAGTCACTGCTTTTTCTAGGAATTTCATATTAACATTCATGAATCACATTGAGCACTGAGTTAAACTAAGTCCTAAATTCTGCTCCAAAAGTGACCTTCAGTCACCTGACTTACCTCTGAGCCCAAGTTCCTTATCAGTAAAATCAAAGATTGCACCAAATATCACTAGGCCCCCGTGTTCAAACAGTTCGTGACATTTATTGCTGTAAGATAGTTTTAAAAAAATCTTCGAAGTTGAAGTCTGTTGCTGGTTTTTTTTTTAATGAGGGATTAACTTTTTCTTTTAAATCAAAACAAAGAGAATTTAGCAAATTTTTAAATCAACAAAGGCAAGCAACCTTCAAAAGTGCTTGCTATCCTAAAGGGAATAAGCTGTGCCAATCAACAGTAAAACATGAAGAATAAGCAATGAAGCCAAGATCCCAAAGTTCTTAATCCAAGTGCTTAGGACAGGAGTAAACAAAATAAACAAAGATCTGTGACATCATACTCTATTTCTGGATCCATCTTCATGTGTTTCCATGATTTGAAGTCATGGCAATAGTTGAGTAATCTGATTAACTTTTACTAACAGTGATTTGATCAATTGATAATTTTCACTTTTTATGTTCAGCTTATTTCTAAACTGTCAAAAAGAATATTCCTATGTAGGCTTTACTCAGCTCCCTTCTCCAGGGAAAGATTGATTTAAAAAAAAAATCAAGAAAAAGAACCCTGTGCAAATTGCCTGGTATCTGTCACATTCACCTACCCTCTGACCCTAAGCACCATAAATGGGGTGGAACTCTTGACACAAAGTCCTCCTTTCCTAGAGGGCTTACTTAACAAGGCTTTGTTCTTCTCTAAAAATGCTCTCTTCAAGTGTTATAGCAAGTATGCATACTTGTACAAGAGGTCAACTCATTAGAGTCCTGGAACCTTCCACCAATTTAAAGAATAATTTAAATGGAAAATCCATTAAGTAGAAGCTGTACATGTGAAGATCTCAGTTGAATCCCATTTCCTCTAGATGTCATTTTAAAATACCAATAAGGTAAGTGGCTTGTAAGTATAAGTGTCTGACAATTTTCCAGCTCTTCTACTCAACTATTATTTTTATTTATTGAATAAGTAGTACCTTCACCTGGAACCAAATTTAAGTCTTTTTAAAAAGTAAAACCACCCCCCACGCTTTCCAGAGGCAAGCAAAGTTACTAAGTGCCAGTGTAAATTTCCAAAGATACTCAAAGCATATACAGTTTTATAAACTAATCAAAGAATTTCTTTCCAATTTCTTATGTATACATATACCTCTTCTACTGAAAATAATCAAAAAGGCAGCAGCAAGAAGGCTGATGAAAAGTAAGGAGCCTTGAAGTAAATTTGAAAGACCACCTGAGGTTATTCTGTAAATTCCAGGAAGGAAGCTAAACAGGAAGCTTCAGAAGGGAATAAAGATTTGTGATTCAAGGAAGCCATTAGCAACATCATTACAATTTTCAAAAAGGCTTTAGGTTGCTACTCCTTCATTGTTTCAACAAAAGGTAAATTTAAAGAATAAAATTAACAAGGACTTTTAGACAAAATACAAATGTTTACTTCAGACAAAAAGCTGAAGCACAGTTAAGAGTGAAAAAACTGCATTCAAAACAACTCATTCCTACCGTCAGTTACTAAATGTTTAATACATGAGCACAAGTTTTTCTCCTGCTAGAAATCCTATAGGAAAGCTTTCAAAATGCCTCTTTCCGATCATCTTTAACAAGAAAACTGGCTTGTACTTTCTAATGAAGGCAGGCATATCATTCTGGGGATCAGAGCGGCAACTGTGTTGACCAACACCTAAGGACCAGTAGTATTTCCGATACGATAACGTCTGAAGATATCCCAATACTTAACGTCAAAATCTCAATGGCTAAATGAGATATCCAGTTTAATTCTCGGTTGGAGTTTAGTGTGGTGTTTCGTAGGGCTTTGCGCTGGAAGTTCTATTAACTAACACTAATTCAGTTAAGCACCCACCCATCTTGGAAAAGCTTCAGCTTTGCAGTGAGGAGACAGAACACTTAAACTTTTGGCCAATTGCAACCTGAGCTCCCACCACACCACCTCCTCTCCCGGGCTCAGGGCAGAGAGCCTACGGACGGCAGCACAAAGGAGAACGTGGCTTCTGCCCCCGGCGAGTGGGGAGTCGCCTCGTCTGGTCACGGTGGAGCTGGGGGCTCGGTGTTTCTGCAGGTGCCAGTCAGAGGCAGGAGCAAAGCCCATGCTGGGACGGTGCCTCCTGCCCGGCCTCCAAGGCCCGGGCCCGGCCAGGTGGCCAAGCGGGATGCACAAGGAGGGAGCGGCATGGGATGCCACCCGGGCGCCTCTGCGTCGCCCCGGCCCCACCGCGCAAGGCCCAGGCCGCGTGACACGAGTCCAGAGCCTCAGCTTCCAGTCTGGAGCAGTGCGGCCGGCTGTGCGCCCGTCCCCTCGCTTAGCCTGTTCCCCACTTCCCTGCGGCCCCTGCCGGCCACAGCCGTACCCCGCTTTGGGGACGCTTCCATGGTTTCAGAGGCCAAATGCGTTTAGCGATCCCCAGCGTGTGCGGTTCGGGGCTGTGTGCCCTCCGCCTCCCAAAACGCTTAGTCTGCTTAGTCGTGTCGTTCGTGTGTTTCTCCCATGCTAGACTAGAAAGATCTGGCGATTCGGTGCCACAAGTGTCCATACAAGAAACATGTCCTTTGACAGTTCTGCCTGCTGGGAGGTCAGTCTGGGATAAGGGTTGGCTCCCAAGAACTTACAGCTGGTAAAACAGACATGAGCTATAAATCCCAACAATCCCTGTGTTTTTTGTTTTTTTCCCTCCCAAGGTGCTCCTAGTCTTGTTAGAATTGTCATGTATCTAGGACCTGTTACTACACTCCTTTACCAGGCTTAGGACAGAGCCACCTCACTGACTGACCTCAACGTGGGTGACTCAGCCCCCTCCCCCGCCCTCGGAGGCTGGTTGTCGAGCTGCCTGCCGGAAGCACGTTTCCCCCTGAAGTCCCAGCGCGCCCCAACCCAGCACCTCTCATACTGTTGTCCTCTCCCTGTCTTCCCTCTGTTCACAGTACTGCTGTCTCCCCATATGTCAAAATTCAAAACCCCAAATCCTTATACAGCTCCCCTCTCTGTGTCCACCCGCCCCCCCCCCCCCCCCCACCACAA